TTGCCCAGGCTGGAGTGCAGTGGCTGCTCCTGGCCACCGCAGCCTCGACCTGCTGGGCTCTCCTTCCGCCTCAGCCTTCCAAGCAGCTGGAACTACAGGCGCGTGCTATCACGCCCGGCCGATTTTTTTATTTATTGTAGAGATGAGGTCTCACCAAGTTGCCCAGGCGGGTCTTGAACCCACGGGCTCAAGCAATCCACTCACCTCAGCCTCCAGAGGCGCGGGATTACAGGCTGAGCCACCGAGCCTGGCTCAGAACATTTTTTTAATCATAGAAAGTTATATTGGTCAGCACTGCTTTAGGGTTTGTTTTTGTTTCTGAGTTGGGGGTTTCACTCTATCACCCAGGCTGGACTGTAGTGGCATGCTCACAGCTCACCACACTTTGACTTCCTGTGCTCCGGTGATCCTTCTTTCTCAGCCTCCCTAGTAGCTAGAACTATAGGCATGCACCACCACACCTGACAGGCTTTTTAAAATTTTTTGCAGAGTCTCACTACATTACCCATGCTGGTCTCAAACTCCTGGGCTCAAGCAGTCCTTCTGCCTTGACTTCTGAAAGTACTGGGATTATGGTAAGAGCTACCACTGGCCTACTTTAGCATTTACAATACAGTTGACCCTTAGACAAAGTAGGGGTCAGGGCCACCAGCCTCTCCCCAATACACAGTCAAAAATCAATACAGACCTGATGGGGTGGCTCAAGCCTGTAATCCCAGCACTTTGAGAGGCCAAGGTGAGAGAACTACCTTAGCCCACAGGTTCGAGACCAACCTGGGCAACTTGGCCAGACCTCATCTCTATAATAAATCAAAAAATTAGTTGGGCATGGTAGTGCGCACCTGTATTTCCAGCTACTCGGAAGGCTGAGACAGAAGTATTGCCTGAGTCCAGCATGTCGATGCTGGGATGGCCATGAATGTGCCACTGCACTACAACCTGGGCAACGGAGTGAGACTCCAACTCAAAAAGAAAAGAAAAGAAAAGAAAATCAATGTGGCCAGATGTGGTGGCTCATGCCTATTATCCCGGCACTTTGGGCGACCGAGGTGAGAGGATTGCCTGAGCTCACAGGTTCGAGACCAGCCTGGGCAACTTGGCGAGAACTCATCTCCTACAATAAATCAAAAACTTAGCCAGGCATGGTGGTGCATGCCTATAGTTCCAGCTACTTGGAAGGCTGAGGTAGAAGGATTGCCTGAACCCAGCTGGTCATGTCTGCGGTGGCTGTGAGTATACCACTGCACTCCAGCCTGGGCAATAGAGTGAGACTCCGTCTCCAAAAATAACAAAATTTAAAAAAAGATACCTAGCCGGGCTCGGTGGTTCAGCCTGTAATCCCGCGCCTTTGGGAGGCTGAGGTGAGTGGATTACCTGAGCCCGCGGGTTTGAGACCCACCTGAGCAGCAAGACCTCATCTCTACAATAAATCAAAAAATCAGCCAGGCGTGGTAGCGCATGCCTATAATTCCGGCTACTCGGAAAGCTGAGGCAGAAGGATCGCCAGAGCCCAGCAGGTCGAGGCTGCGGTGGCCGGGAGCGGCCACTGCACTCGTCTGGGCGACCGAGTGAGACTCCAACTCAAAAAACAAAAACAAAAAAAAATCAGCCGGGCGTGGTAGCACATGCCTGTACTTCCAGCTCCTTGGAAGGCTGAGGCGGAAGGATTGCCGGAGCCCAGCAGGTCGAGGCTGCGGTGGCCGGGAGCGGCCACTGCACTCCAGTCTGGGCAACAGAGTGAGACTCCAACTCAAAAAAAAAAAAAAAAAAATAGATACCTAAATACTTTTTCTAAATGACAAATTCCATAGGGTAAGATAATTAAGCCAAGCTTTGAGTAAGCTGCCAGCGGAACTGGTGCTGAGTGCCATGGAGGTCTAGGAGGCCGCTGGTTCTCCAAGAAAGGGCTTCTATGGGTGCACCAGAGGCCACCTGTGCAGCAGAGCCCACCTGTGCAGCAGAGCCCACCTGTGCACCAGAACCCACCCATGTGCTAGAACCCACCCATGCACTAGAACCCACCCATGCACTAGAGGCCACCCGTGCACTACAGCCCACCCAGCCAAGGCCACTAGGCAGAGTCCATGGGTGAGTCTCCAGGGTAGCTGCCTGGCACCCTTTCCTTCCACCTCCCTCCGATGTCTCTCCTGTCTCACCACTGCTTCAGGATTCTCCTGTGCCCCCCATCCCCACCCCACTCCCCGTGTGTCTGGTCGGGTCTGTTACCGTTTTTCTGAGGAAGAACTTGGAAGAACTGTGATTCAAGTTGTTTAAGAAACTTGAGGGGTTAGCTGGCACAGAATGGGTGTACTTTTGAGCCATAAGCTGAGTCACTGAGTCACTGAGTCACGTGTGTCTGTTTCAGGAGGTTTTTACTGTAAGTGTTGGAAACTTACCGCCTAAGGCTAAGGTACTTATCAAGATCACCTACATCACAGAGCTTAGCATCCAGGGCCTGGCCGCCATCTTCTTCCTGCCTGCCACTGTGGCGCCCTGGCAGCAGGACAGGGCTTTGGATGAAAACCTCCAGGTTCGTATGCTTGAGATAAGACTCTAAGAAGCATTTTTTGGGGGGATTTATGCACAAGGGGGAGAAAAAAATGTCCAAATGCAATACTTTCACCTATGTCAACCTTACTGTCATTTATGCGTTTAGACGTGTTATATCTGTAAAGTGAAAAGAATAAGGAAGCTGGGCTTGGTGGCTCAGCCTGTAATCCCGTGCTTTGGGAGGCCGAGGTGAGTGGATTGCCTGAGCCCGCAGGTTCGAGACCCACCTGGGCAACTTGGCGAGACCTCATCTCTACAATAAAATCAAAAAATTAGCCAGGCATGGTAGCCCACGCCTGTAATTCCGGCTACCCGGAAGGCTGAGGCGGAAGGATCACCGGAGCCCAGCAGGTCAAGGCTGCGGTGGCCGGGAGCGGCC